GAAGAAGAAGGCTCCCCCACCCAGGCATCTGAGCCCGCAGCACCGTCGGCTGGTACGGTCACCTCCTCAGTCGGTGAGGATGAGACACCGGTGCACGAAATCAGCAGCTGTGACTCACCCAAGCCCGTTCATGAGGATGCCGAAGACAGGGAAGAAGAAGCGGCAACTGATGACTCAGTCGTCGAACAGCAAGAGGAGCATGAGGTAGCCAGCGTATGGGAGGTCAATGACTCCTCTTCAGTGTGCTCTCAAGGACATTACGAGCCAGGAAATGGGGTCCGCTCCCGTTCTGCAACGTCTCCTCCCTCTGTGGCCTCTCCCTGCTCTCCGAGTTTATGTTTGCAGTCGGGTCGAGGGGTTCCATCTTGTTTTTTTGGTGAGATTGTGATGTTCTGCATGAATGTGTTTTTTGTTGTTGTTAAACCCGCGTAGCTAGCACTATCAGATCATCAGATCCTGTGCTCGCATTGCAATGGCCTAAGTAAAATAGCAGCAACAACAACATCCGAAATGATATTTTTTGAATAGCTATGTATTTTGTTGAAAATCATGTTTGTGTTTTGGCCCTTGTCCGTTGGGACTTTGCAAAGGTTTGCAGTCCACGATCTGATTTTTTTCTTTGTGGGACACATGAGTTGCAGTTTTCGATGCCTCCCCGCCTTTAGCCGTTTTCCGTTTTGCAAAATGCTTTGAACATGTGACACATGAAGATTGCATAATAAGTATGGAATTCGCACTTTAATTTTGATGTCAGCAGGTTGACCCAGAGGATATGAAAGGTTGTTACATGTTTCAGCATCGGACGATGAAGCGCCCATTGGATGGGAACCAAGTCGCTGCTTTGGAGGCCAGCCACATTTGAGGGATATTTTTCTCATGTGTCCCACAATAGAACGGTAGTACAGATGTTTGGATGCATCGAATCTCAGATGTTTAAACTGAGGATGTGAGGTTGCCAATTTCCACAATGCTTTTCACCCAGGCCTTTGCAGCTTCTTTTTTTTTGGAATAGTGCAGTGTCCAAGAATCGTGGCCGCTTGGTGGAGTTTCCTGAGACATTGACAGGGAGTTCCTAGCGACAGCCCGCAGGTGGGGCACACCGGTTCAGCTGCTATTAGCACTGCATTTGGAAGGGATTCGTGCCAGACGCCATGTTTGGCTTCCTTTGCAGGAATTTCACGTTGATGCTACTTGGATTTACGGTCAAACGCCACAGATGCAGGAGAATGTTTAGTTCCAGCACTTGAAGATAGCATGGACAATGTTTGTTGAATCAAATGTGTTGACTGCAGCGTGCTTTTGGAGTTTTCTGATTTGCCACTTCTCAAGCTTTGAGTTGCCCATCTATCATTTGGATGGTTCGGGTCTGTCCTATTACCTGTCACAGTCAGTAAACAATGATTACTCTTTTTGAACAAGGCCTTTACTAACCATCATTGTCCACGGTTGCAGGTATTAGGATAGACCAAATGGATGGTTTTCAGCGAAGTACTCATGTGAGGACACCTCTGTCCGCGTGGTGCAGTGCAGATCGTTGAAAGCTTTAAGGCGGACCATGTGGACTCGCACAGATCGGAGGGTTTGTAAGAGGCTTCAGAGGTCCAGATTCCTTGAATGTATTATTTAATTTGCTCAAGATGGACTGCTTGCACTGCGTGCAAGGCTTCTTCAAGTCACCTCTCCACTTACATATCCAGGATGTGGCAGCCAGGCTCTGGGAAAACAACTGTATAATTTCAACAGCCCATGGCAATATGTGCAGTGCGAAAGGCATGGGCGGGACCCTTGGGTGCAGCCGTGGCCCGGCATTTGGATGGTGTTTATTGCAACGGCATCGTGGTTCTGCTGGCGCCCGACCATTTGGTGATCGTGGATGTGCCTCGAGCTGTGGAAACAGAAACAGTGCCCGAAGACTCTGTAAGGAAAACTGATTGCAAGCACACCAATGCCAATGACTGTCTCTTGCACATGAGTTCTGGTGAGGTGGTTTCAGTGATTCATGTGTGCGGTCTCTCTCAGGACGACAAGCAAGAAGGTTTGAGGCAACAGTTGATATCGGACATGTTTACCCAGAGGAGCATAGACGCACGCTGGACACTTGGCATAGAAGATCGAAGAACGCGGTCCATGGTAGGTGGAGTAATTGGACACGAAGGTGGTCCATGGTAGCCTGGTAGGTGGAGTGTTTGAACGTAGCGCTGCTGTAGGTAGCGCTGCTGGCATGGTGTGATTTCCTGTGTTTCACCAAGGACAGACTTCCGGCCATGAGGTCTTGGTGTGTCACCAGGTCTGCAGGTGACCACGGGGTTTGGGGGATACCTCTTTGGACCACGGTGACGGGGTGCGGCCAAAAGCGACGAACGAAGACGAAGCTCGAGAGCGATTCTCTCACTGTGTTGCACCAAACACCGCGGTTGCCTTTGCAGAACCCGTGTTGCATGCAGGCGAGCCATTCATTGCTGTCATTTTTGGTGCATGTTGCTGTGTGAAGATGATGCAATTTTGGGCAACTTCAGAGGCAGAAGTCAAGGTTTGAAGGTGTTGGCATTTTAAGCTATTGAGCAATTCAATCAATTGCAGCATTCGTTTTGTAGTCTTACAGGGCACAGCTTTTTTCAGCAATATCACGGGGGGTACAATACCTAGCACACCTATCTGCAAACCACAGAAGGGGCGACGTGCTGCTTTGTGCTGCCATGTCTTGGAGGAGGCAGGTGTGAAGAGGTCTACTTTCCAAGTTCTCAATCTTCAATCCAGCACCTTGCGTGACTTCTGAAATTGGTGCTTGGATCGAATTGCAGACTGAAGACCATGTTCAACGGTACTCTCGGCAAGGCCTGACTTTCGCCGATGGACAAGGCCCTAGGCGGGGAGTTCTTCCCGGTGCAGGGGGTTCTTCGCGGTGAACTCTTGAGGCCCATCCTCTGTCATAGTCTTAGTCATAGTCTTGCATCAAAACTTGATGCATAGGAGAAAGAGACCAGCTTGGTGTTCAAAGCATTGATTGTTCGCTGGTTTGGTTTAGTGCTTGACTTCAGAAGCTGGGTGGTGCTTGACCTCTATGGTTTCAGTAGAAAAAACTCCGCAGACCTCTGTGGTCATGTTATGCCCCTGCACGTGCTACGGAGACCAGGGACGAAGGTTTGGTACTTTGTGGATCCAAAGTCGGGACCGGAGCAAAACAAAATCCGATCTTCAAGCGGTATTTGGTTTTGGGGAGGGTAGCAGCATGTAGCAGCAAAGCGGTTTAAGTTCAACATTTCCTATTCCAAGCTGATGAACTCAGGCGTCCTGTCTTCAGGTCTGAAATGACTTGGGAGAATTTTCGTGTGGGAGCTTGTGGGAAGCGCTTTTGCTGGGCTCAATCCCGAAGTGAGAAGTGCCTTCAGTTCGAAGAGCGCCCTCGCAGGTGTGGTAGTGCCTTCTAGGATTCTAGGAAGCACAATCTAGTACATGTTAGTTGCAGGTTTACTAAGAAAGCAGCAAGCATCCACGGCTATATATCAAGCTTTCCTCCCATGTGCTCATCAGATGAGTCACCCGCCAAGCGGCCCCGGAGTGCGCCTGACTTGAAGATTGTCGTGGATGACGGTGAGCTCGAAGTGCATTCGGTAATTCTGGAATATGCGTCGCCCGTTTTTGCCAAAATGTTGAGCAGTGCTATGAAGGAGGGCTCTGGGACGTCCATTCAACTCCCTGGAAAGAAGTTCACCGAGCTGGATACATTTTACAAAGAGCTGCAGCTTTGCACCATGAAGCCCTTGACCAAAGAAACAGCCATTTTTCTGACACATTGGGCTGAAGAATATCAGGTCGATTCCTTAAAGGACAAATGCGAAGCCTATTTATTGGCATCAGTTCCGGTCACTGGCCAAGCATTGCAACATGCTGTAAAGTACGGTTTGCACAAAAGGACTAAACAGTGTCTGGACGTGATGAAAGGAGACCTTGCAAAGCACGTCAACGACTTGGAAGTCTTGACAGAGAAGGGATGCGAAGAGCACCTCAAGCAGATGTGGCCACTGATTCTTCGAGAGGGCGGGTTGCAACCTTCCCCACTGCCGCCTGCGGAACATGTGAAAAGCATGTGGCCTTTCGTCGCCCACGCTTTGCGCACGGCGCCACGCCTTCGCCAACTGGTCAGACTCAAAGGCGAATGCGCGTCTTGGCCGATGGATCTCATGGTGGTGCTCCCATGCAGTCATTCCGCAGACGAGAAGGCCAAGACATGGCTCACTGAGAAACTCAGAGCTCACGGTCTTCCTGTGTGATTGCCCTGTTTCTGGTGCCGACGTGAAGACTTCAGCGACTTGTGTGACATTACATAACTGTGGCACACTGATGTGTCTTGTTACACCACAATGTGCAACAAGCCTTGGCCTATACATCATCCCGGTGCAGGAACAAAAAGACTGTGCTCCCAACAGACCAAATGCTTCCGGCATTTCGTTTTAGGTCACACTTACAGTAGCGCAGTATTGAAGTCCACATTGAAGTTAGGCGTGTTAGTGCGCCGCTCTTGCTCTCTTACTGTTTTGGGTTTTCACTCATCAGATGTTTTGGTTTTGCCGCCAGGAGAGATCTACCGAAGTGTCAGTCGCTGCTGGGCGGTGAAGATCACGTTTCGCTGGTCAGAAAAGTCTTTCAAGCCCTTGTGTTCCCTCAGACCGACCAGTTACGAAAGTCCTTCTTTGGTGATTGGCATTGGCAAACACAGTCAATCTTTCCCACTACAGCACTTGCTAGGCCCGCTTGCTGTTTGTGGCGGCTCAGATCTAGGTTTCCCTGTCCCTTTTGGCAGCGCTGCCATGTCGGACGCAAAGAGGCCTAAGACTTTGGAGCGAGACATTGCTGGACTTCTTTTGGACGAGGCACTTGAGGGTCCTGTGCTGGTGTTGACACAATGGTGCATGTGCCAGTGACTTGGTGTTCGGGTTTGCCAGGATAAGGTCAAGAAACTTGCCTCCACTGAGTTTGTGGATGATGCCTTGGCATGTGCTATGGCGCGTGGTATCGTCATGTACCCGACACCAAGCAACAAGAGGGAGGCGAGGCTCAAGAACTCAAGATTTGTACAGGAAGGACTTCAGAAACGCGAGTGATGAGCTGCTTTGTTCAGGCTGCTGTGGTGCCAATGACACTGCTTCCCTGTCCTTTTGCAGACAATTACTTTCAGCTGGCGAAGAAGCTCACGTATCGTGTTTGCACCAAGAACTAGCACAAAATGGTCTCTGACTCTCACTTGGTTGTTGCAGTTCTTCGTGTGAGGGGATTTTGTGCTTAAAGCTGGTCTAGAGTCTAGAGACAAGAACATAGTACGCTCCAAGGCCGGACTTTCATTTGCTGATGGACAAGATAACTTGTGTGGTGGCTGCAAAGCTCTCTGTAACCTTTATTCTTCTTGGGCAGAGATGTAATTTTATATAGCTTTGTAATTCAGAAGTCTTTGAAGAGATTCCATGGTTTATACAACTCTTTCTGCCATGCTCTCAAAGTGTTTGTGCCGGCCACCGTTGTTGACTTTTTGTGTGCATGGAATGCAGTGAGAGAGAGAGAGAGAGATGGACATCAGAGTGCTTGTAGCCGTAAAACAAAATGAATCGGTTCTTTCACGTCTCATTCCACTTGTGTTTGGCAGTGCAAGTGTCGAGGGTTCATTGCGATTCTAGTGTTCCATCTTTCAACGCAGCCCGCATTCAGGTGACATTGGGTGGCTCGAACGCGCTTTGGCAAAAACCGGCGCTATTGACGAGATCTGCAGCAAACTACTGGAGATTTGCCGGAGTGTCTACAATGCGGAGACTGGAAAGGACCGCTTTTTCAAGGCACTGCAGCACTGCAAGTAGGATTTGCTGAATGAGCAGTGCTGTGGCAGTGCTTAGCTCGATGTGGGAGACCTGCAGGACCCCAAAGAAGAGATCCGACTCCATCTCATGCGAAATGACTTCATGCTGGACACACAGAAGGGCTCTGAGGGGGCAATGATTCAAATTGAACTGACCCTTGGACATGGATGAGCAGAAGTGGGATACAGTGGGATTTCCATTTTTGCTGACTGAGCATTCTGAACTGCTCTGCAATTGCTTGTGCTCTTGAGGAACATGATGTCTGCCTCCTTTGCAGGTCATGGGCAGGACTTGACAGAGGTACATCGATACCTCCTGTCGAACCTTGGTTGGAGTTCTACAAAGGTTGCACGCAGCGTGCTAGTCTATAAACACATTGAAGCTGGGATTGCTTCCTGTTTCTTACGGCTTCATGGACATTCTTTTGTTAGGCCGTCCCTCGAGTTGAAAGATGTTTAGACAAACCCTGTCGGTGGACAGATCAATGATACTCATCAACACCGTTTGTGTTTGGTAGAATAACCCGTTTATTGCATCACATCTGCATCTTGTGAGGAAGTACTTGCCGGACCAATCCGGTGACGTGCCGGGATTGCCTCGAAGTGCAGCCATGGAAGGTATGGCAGAAGCTATCGCTATGGCACATGAGGCACACTTGGCAGAACCATGGTTTTTGGGAATAAGGTGTTGAGCAAGGCTCACTCCGCAGACTCATGGAGTTTGGAACCTTTCGATAGGACGAGGGCGTGCCCCGATGACATTTCCATCAAGTTCTCTCTGTGTGTCTCGGGCAGTTGTCGTGCCTGAGGCGTACAGCTCTCGGTGGGAGCCACTTGGCTTACCCCGAGTAGTGCTCTTCATTGTCCTGGAAGAGGAGAAGAACGAGCTGGACCACAGGAGAAGTGTGTTTCCAGAGGAACGAGCTGGTGCCCAAAGGGGCCGTTTTCGGGCAGCAATTTTAAGCATGCCATTCGTTTATATAGACGGTATGGCATAGAATTCTTGCTCGCTTTGGTTGACTTTTGCTGCCTTTGGTGGGGTTTCCCACCCGGAAATCGACGGAGAAAAGGGAATCGACACGCGTCACACGCGGCGTTTTCCAGGAAGCTGGAGCTCGCGGCTTTTCAGCAAGGCATTTGTTCGCTACGCAGATCTCTGGCGCAGCTCAGTCGCACCTGCGAGTTGCGGCCCCTGGTGGCGCGAAAGCAGGTGCGTTTTCTTGAGCTTTGGGTAGAAGATCTTGAGAAGTGAGAAGAGTTTTTTAGTGATTGGAAAGTCCAGAAAGACCAAGAGTTTTGACAGTTGGAAGGTGTGATATAGTCCGATGATCCAAATAAATTGAGACCATCGTCCCTGTCAGACAAACGTGCGGCAACCCATGGCCCTGGTTGTCGATGGCTACGAGGACAGCAGCAAGTGTGTCTATTTGGTGGGCGGTCAACAGTTTTCTTCCGTGATGTGTCACCGCTCGAGGCTCGAAGGCGACACGTGTCACCTTTTTCCACTCAAGGTTGTCACTTCGACTTTTTCAGGTCACGGTGGCCTACTTCCGCTCGGGCTACTGGCCGCAGCACTTCGAGGGTGCCTGGCTCTGTCGGCAGCAGCTGGAGCGTTCCGAGGCGGCCAAGTGCCCCTCGGCTCCGGCGCAGCTGGCTGGGATGAAGAAGGCACGGCCGCACGGCGTGGGACTTCGGTTTTTGACATGTTGGGAGTTGGACGCTGCTTGGGGAGTATTGTGATGTGTTAAGACTTGTGAACTCAGATTGTTCTGCCATGGTGACCTATGAAGATGTGAAGTGAAGCCTCCTCAAATCTTAAGCAGGAAGCCAAGGGTCACTTGGACATCACTTCTGGAAGAAAGCACAGAATAGTCCGTACATGGATGATATTCATGTCGCGAACATGAGCAACTATAGGTCGCTGTGCACTGGCTGTGCACGTTGTGTCACCTCGTGTGCAGGTGCAACAACTCCTTTGTGACAGCGCCGAGTTGTCCAGGTTTTTGTCCGAGGAGCAGGCAGCTGCGGTGTCCAGCACGTTGCTGGGATGATATCCATCGATCACGGTGTCCATGTGGGGTGGCAAAAACAGCCTAGAGAGGGCCACTCGAGGCTGTGTTCGATTGAATTTGATTGGATTTGGGTATGGGTCCCAAAAGAAGGGCCACTTCAAAGGAACAAAAAGGTCAGCTCTAGATGTTTGACCACTACCAAGTTAGTTTCCATTGAGTATTGGGTCATTTGAGCAACATTTCTTTTTTTCATTTGAAAGGATGCAAAAGTGGAACTTGTTAACTTTCCGCGAAAACAAAAGTGTGAAGCTTCTTGTTCTGCGAAATCTTGCGAAAGCGTCCTGCGCAGCCTCCCAATTTTTGAGCCGCGAAAGCAAACCGCGAAAGCAACTTGGCACATGTATACATATACAGTGAAGACAAGTATAGGTATAGGCAAGGATGTATTATATAATCTCACGTGTGTACACAATCTCACAGCACTTCATTCCAGTGTAGCTACTAGAGTTGTGCATTGAGACTTTGGTCGAGCAACTTTTCCCGCAACTTTGGTTTTGGATGGAAGCAGGAAGTGTCAGATTCGTGTGAAATAGTGTAGCAGCGTGACATGTTCAAGAGTGAATGATGATTTGACTGCGCAGGCGTGAAGTCGGCGCTTTGTGTCGCTGTGCCATTGGGATTGATATTCGCAGGGTGGTCTTACAATTGCTGTCGCAGGAACCGTAAAAAAACACAATCTAAGCTGATCCCCACAAAAGCCCGCGAAAGCTCCGCGAAAGCATCTACAGCCTCCATCCAACCAATCCCCTTTCGGACGGCACTGGCCGTTTCCGGTCACAGAACCTCCTAGCTCTTTGTGGAGAAGAAGCCTTGCTGTCCCAAGCTGCTGCTCGCCCACAAAAGCAAGCTGCAAAGCATCACCGATCATCACCGTCAAACGACTGCTGCCTTGCAAGCTGCCTCGCCTTCCTGCTACTTCATCCTCATCTGCCTCTGACACTGAATGATGTTTTCTGTCTGAAGAAAAGGATCTGTCCGATGCACTGCCAAAGCGTTCGAGCGTAGGCCTTTGATAAATATGTGCACCGCGTAGGCACCCTTTGCAGCTGCGAAAGCTTTGGCAAAGGCTTTTCCTGTATTCATAGGCCCACCAAAAAACAGCGATCATTTGTCAACATTTTCCTAGATTTTCTCCATTCCAGTCTGGGTGTGATCTGAGGTTCGCCAAGCAGTTTGATCCGAGCAACACCTCCGTGGAAACCCGTGAGGCGGTGCAGGCGGGGTGAACACACAAGTGGCCGAAGAACGACGTTGAACAGCACCTCAGCCCCGAGAGTTGGAGTCGTAGGAACATTTCACAAGAATTGTGCAAACTGCGTCGGCCATTCCCTTGCGCACTCATGAAAGGCCAGGTGTGTTTCTTTTCCGTCGACATGTGTCCAGCACAACATCCCGGAGCGGAAATCTTTCTTCCCATGACAAATACTATACTATACCGGTAGAAAACAATTTTTCTTTGAAATGCAGCCAGTCCATGCTCTTCCGCAGGCTGCCCGCAAAAGCCCTGGAGATTGGGTCCTCAAGCCGCAGGCAAAAACCTCGGTGAAGTCTTCGTCGCACCAAACTGGCTCCAAAACGTGGGAGTTCACTGGGACGGAGTTCAAATTGGCTCGGTCTATGCAGGTGGAAGGTTCTGGAGAGCTGTACTTCGATGATGACATTCCGCGTCCTTCATGGCATGTTTGGACAGAGATCTGCTTTGATAAATGGAATTTGATGAACACTAACACTACTGAACACCTAGACTGGACACCGCCGGAGTTCATGTTCCAATTACTTTTGTTCACCAAGGTACAGACCTAGTCGTAAAATGTCGTAAAACTAATTCACATACATTTGGTGTTCAAGAAGTCTCAGCCAGTTTCGATTTCGTGGTCTTCAACCATTTGGAGTTACCGAGCGACTCCCTTGTGGTGACGGGGTGGTTCAAGGTGTCTTGGAGTCGCGAAGTGAAGATCAGCTCGCAGAGTTCATCCTCATGGAACGAGTGAGGCCGGGTGAAAAACGGATGGCGCTGAGTGCAGTGGGAGCTGCAAGGAGTCAGGAAGCTTGACAGTCTTCCATTCATAGTGAACGGAAGCATTGGTATGGGCGGATCTATTGTGTAGCCGGGTATGTCAGTGCATGGGCAGCAACAAAAATTGGGACAGGCCTGTACAAGCTGCGTTTGCAGTGATTCATCTCCTCTCCAATGCCCTACTTGTTTGGGTGTGTACCACACCCAATGAGATTAAGAGTTTGCAGAAGATTTTGCTACAGTAAGTGCATGGTCAACCTCTGGACTGCTCTTTGCATGAGGCCTCCATGTACTCCCTCAGCCATTTTGCATGACGGAGCTGTGCTAGTACGTCGTGCTGCCTCTTGGAGTTCAAGCGGTCCAAGTCTGTTGGGCCAACGTGTGTGAAGACGATGAAGATTACCTCCTTTCTTCAAGCGATTAAAGACCAGTGGCTCTGAAAATCACGCTTGATTCCATCACACATATCACACCTCAATTCTCTTGTGGGGCAAACGATTGCCAAGTTGACTGGCAGACTGCTGAGGTTGCCGAGTTGGGGATTTTTGGTACTTTCGTGGCAGATGGAGACAAAGTCAGGTGCAACAAGGCCAGTTGGGCCAGCTTGACAAAGTTCGACAAACCTCTTGGCATTCTATGCCCACACCTGATGTCAACCTTGCTTGGGCATGCTCAAGCTTTGTCACTTGAGGTGGTTGGGCACCTTCTCCGGTCCAAAGGGCAACAGACGAATCAGGGTGGTGTCTTCGTTGGGAACGTGTGGAGCTCGGTCCCGATGACAGTAGATCCCTGGTCATTGGTCCCAGCCACGCTTGCGAGTGACCAGGCCACTGTTGATGTGCCGTTCTTGGTGCCATCAGATATTTACTGGCGCAACGTCACGGCGTGAGGATCGATTGGCATTGCTTGCAAAAAAAGGAATTGGTAAGAAGCAAGAGCATCAAGAGCTGACTCGTCGCTATTTCCTAGCTTTCTCACGAATAGTTAAGGAATGCTGGGAGCAGTCCCGCGTACCAGAAAGAAGCAAGAGGAACACGAGCATGGTTAATTTTGGGCTCAAGATGCACACTGATCAGTGTGATCCTTAAACTTAAGGAACCGGATGTTGTCCGAAGAAAGTCAACCGGATGCGCAAATGAACAGTACAACAAATGTCAACAAATCCTCCAATGATGTGCCAACGAACTCGCACCGCCCGCTGGGGAAACCGGATGTGTCTTCACTGTGCTTCCCAGCTTCTGATTTCTTCTCCAACCTACTAGCAAAAGGAATCGAATAGCAATGGCCTCCAAGCTAAGAGCGATGGATGGCCTCCAACCTAATAGCAATGGCAGTGAAAGCAGGATGTTCTGACACAAAAACCAAGCAGCAAATGCTGACTTTTTCCATGTGCATTGGCCATGTCAGCTTCTGCTTGCTTGGCAAGGATTCGGGAGGACTACTATTGCTTTGGAGTTCTTTGAGTTGGTTGCTGTGTGATAGAAGGGCTTTTGGACAATCTTTGGAACTAACAATGAAAGGTGACGAGGACACCGGAAACTTACTTTGCGGCAGAAGAGCAGGGACCAATTCCAACCGTGAAAGCTGTCGAGGAATATGATCGGCGGCCCCGCACCGTCAGCGTCTGGGGCTTTCTTTCCAGCTTGGAATTCCCGTGGGTTTGTTGAGCAGCAGTGTTAAAAACATTTCATTCGTAGCAATAAAGCTATTTGTAACAAGCGCATCGCTTCTAGTAACAAGTGCCTTACTAGTAGTAACAAGAAGCTATTAGAAACAATAATTAAAAGCAATTATATAGAATTAAATTACTAGAATTTAGAATGTAGAATTTAGAATTAAATTCCGTGGGTTTGTTGAGCAGTGTTAAACACATTTCATTCTCAATTTTCTTTGTGCAACATCTATGATCCTCCTGCTTTGCAGTAAAAGTCTTGCGGCTTTTCTGTTGCTGCCGATAGTGCAGCCCTGAGGCAGCCTTGCGGCAAAGAGCTCTTGAAGCGCAGAAGGTCGGGGAAATGGATGGAACCAGTTGAGCTATTGGTCCTTCAAGTATGTCTGCTGTGGGTCAGTAGGTTTGCAAAGTTTTAAGTGGACCTGATCACATTTTTGAAGTAGTTGATTTGGGAGGGGACACAGACAGGCCCGGCGACCACCATACTTTTCAACGTCCCTTTGGAAGAACACAACTATTCTTTTTGGATTTGGTGAGCTGTCAGTGGGTAGCTTCGCTGTTCAGAGGCCTTCGACAGCCAGCACGTTCTTCATTGTACTTTGGGCGATACTGGCCAAAGGTACTTCCCAACCCCTTGTGTATCAGTGAGTCTATATAGTCGAATCTTTTCCCACCCTCCCTTGCTGGCTTGTGGAAGCTTCCTGTTCCTCAGCCATGCAGACTGCGGTTCTTCGCTTGGAGCGCTTGCAAGCTGAAAGGACCGCCAGTGCAATCCTTTTCTGAACATTTCAGCTGGAAACTGTTGACCGAGTGGTGCAGGAAGAGGTCGTCTCCATGTCACAGCCCAGGCCGATGGATGGGGTCTTTCACTTGTTTGGTTCCGCTTGATGGACATTCCCCTCTCGTAAGAGCATGTAAGAGTGTCGATTGTGGTAAGTGGTTCATGACGAACCCGACTAGACTCGTTGAGTGTCAACAGGCTGACTCAACTTGGACATCACACTTGTGTGAGGTGTTCCTGAAGAGCAAGGTGTATCAGAATCCCAGCTGCTGGGCTTTCAAAAAATAGAGAATGATTTGGAGCAATACAGGGAAGTAGCATGGTGCCTTGCAGGGCTGGATTGGAACGCAAGTTGGTGAAACCTTTCATAGCCTCCCCAAAGCAAGCCATTGAGGCATCTCATCATCCGATGCTCATGCCCTCCAAAGTTAAGTGCTGGACTTCTTATGAGCTGGTTGCACTAAGGGCAGCTGCCTGTGAACCTTCCAACACCTCAACCTTGGCTACCGTCTTCAAAAGCAAGGACTTTCCTGCCTTAAGCTGCAAAGGGTGCATGCTTTCATCCGGCTTGGAACTGTTGATGCTAGTTGGGTTGGGTATCCTTCATAGCGTTGTTTGATACTGGCAACTAAACTGCATCGCCTACCCATTTGATCAGGATGAGCTGGAGCAAATGCGCCGGGAAATGCGAGATAATCGGCTACAGCCTGGGTGGCCTAACAAAGAACACTGGGGGAAGCAGCAGAAGTGTGATTTCCCCCAGCGCCACGCAGAATTGCCATGATAGGGGGTATAGGCCTAGGATAGGGGGCTGCCAACAAATTATTGGCCATTTATCTACGCCTTCTGCTCCTTTTTTTTGGGCCAAGTGGGGCTGACTGCAGCATAGAATGGACATACCCATTAGTTCCTTGCTTCGCATAGAAATTATGGTGGGTGGGCACGGGCCAAGCAAATGCTCCGCAGTTGTGCAAGTGAGCAATAACTTTTCTGACGGTGCGACGCCTATGGACCCCCTAGCCTAGGGCCATCCTATGGACACCAGCCTACCCTAGGACCCTAGCCACCTATCGACACAGTAGCTTAGGGCCTATGATAGGCACAAGGCCTAGGCTGCCCAAACTTCATTGCCCCCAGCACATAGGGTCTTGTCATTTGGAGATCAGGCAATTGTTGGTCCCATGCCTTTATTTGGCCATGCTCAGGATCGACAGTCGTCGTTCGCACTTGACCATTGGCACTTGGTGGAGTCGTGTCGCTGTTGCGTGCGCAGCTTTCTTCCCAAACAGAGTGACTTTGCCATGATCGAAGAGGTATCTACCAACCTCTCCAGGAGATTGAGTGAGTAGTTTACCGCAGGATGAAGTGAAGTAAGGAACCACAAACCTCGCCACAGATGGACCGAGAAACCAGTTGAACCCTGTTCGGTAAGACAGTTTACCCCATCGAAGTTCGTCATTTGCCTTGCTTGGTGTCCTATTTTCAATCGGTTTAGCTTTGCGACACTGCAGCATTCGTTCATCCACTCTTATCAGGGAAACACAGTGATGTTTCTTTGTACGGCCATGTTTGCTTGGCCACTCACAGCGATTGGCTCATGGGGAAGTCTCGCGAGGCGCCTGAGTGGGAAAAAACACCTGAAAGAATCAATGCAACAGGGACACAATTGATAGCACTTGATCCGGCTGGTACTAGGGTTTGACAGACCATCGCGTGGCTTTCAGTTCTCTCTTGATCTTTCTGGGCTCTTGGTTATTTTCTCTGGATTTTGCAACAATTCTTTTCTTTTGCAGTGGAGGAGAAGCGGAAGAAGGCGTCAAAGAGCCAAGGGCAAAGCTTTGTTCCTCCTGGTCACAACCTCAGGATGTGGAGAGGCAACATGTGGAGCTTGGAGAGGGAGTTTAGACTTTAATAGACTTTAGAATGTTTTGAGAGTCTAGTGACCCTCTTCTCTAGTGACCCTGAGAGACTCTGGCTCAAGAGAAGTGTCGACCAACCTCCCAAGCGCTCAGAAAAAGAAGTGTCGACGTTCCGTTCGTTTCCATGGCTGTGGAGCTTTGGTCGGGGCTGCTGCTGGCGGTTTGCGTGGTGAAATGTGCAAAAGACCGTGCAAGGCGCTGCTGGTATGTTGTCTTCAAGGCAGGCTTGGGGGCAAGATGAGCTGCGGACCGTAGTAGTGACATCACGCAGTTCTGAGATTCCAACGTTGTACTCTCATACTCTTTCTGATATCGGCTCACCTATCAAAATATATATATATATGTATAGTATCCTCTCCCTGCGGTATTTGTTGATACACTCAAGCTCTATCAACACGCGGGGCCCGGTTTAATCTCAAAGAGAATTCCTCGCGTCACTCCTGTCAGGGAAACCAGTGCGACACGACGGCGAAGGTGAAGCAATGACTTGTAACGAGCAATCGATCTATCCTACCCCTATGCGAGCCAGCTGCCGCGCTATGGATTTGCTTTTAAACAGATCTTCCATGGCAGAATGCCTCAGTGTTCCCGACCTTCCGCAAGTTCCAGATGTTCACATCTTGGATGTGTGGCAACCCTTCCATAGGGCTCCATTGCAGAGGGCACACTGAATGAGCAGTTCATGCTGATTGGCGAGTTCTTGAGAGATTCGTCCTGGCGTGAGATGCGCTCCTGAGGTTTCTAGCAGTCTCCACTGACGAGTGCTCCTGAGGCTTCGTACTTCGAAGACGTCCATTGAGCTTCGAAGGCGTGGAGACTGGCCTCATTGGTTTCGGGTTCGCTCCTGAACGCGAAAAGCCCGCTGTGACTGCCACTGTCTCGCAGCCTGAGACACGTCCTTTGCTTGTGAATGTTGAAGTTTGTTCCTCGCTTTCCGCTCCTGAGGTTTCATGATGCTGCCCAGCTGCAGAGGGGTGCTTGTGTAAACCAATGGGCATACCTGCATAACACAACACAGCAATCATTCCAGGCACGCAAGCACTTATCTGGAGTCCGAGTATGAAAGGAAGCAGCTCTTGTTTGCCCAAGGAGTGTGCTGCCGTACCCACCGCTGGCACATCCGTGCCTTGGCCTTGCATTCCCTTTGAAGAAGAACGTGCAGCTGTGAAAGTCTATTTGAGGAACTGTGCGGTAAATCATGTAGAGGTGTGGATCGGAGCATCCTTGCTGTTAAGAATGGTGACTATGATTCCATTTACTGTCTTATACTTACTCCCTTATTTTTTTCTTTTCCTCCAAATAGCAATGGCAATAGCGATGGCCTCCAACCTACTAAGTTTGGATCGGAACATCCTTGCCCTGCTGCGTTGTTCAGCAACGCCGTCCGTCCCAGGCCCTGGACTGGCTTCGTGGCTACCAAGGTGAAGAAACCTGGCACAACACTTCGGTTTTTTGCCTTTGACTTCGGTTTGCCCAGATGGTTTTGAAGTGGTTGTTTTTGCAGTTCCTTTGATGAGATGGTGTGGGACCACTCGTACAGCGAGCTTGAGTGGCTTTTGTGGAGGAAAGACAAGCTGTGCTGAGGAAAAAGAAAAAGGATAAGAAGGAGAAGAAAAAGAAGAAACGGCGCCGTGAGAGCAGCAGCAGCAGTGTTTCTCGGCATTGACCATCGATGCAGCTTCGTTACGTCTCTTCCCTTCGAAACTTGCACTCTTGAAACCAAAGAAGCAAACACTCGCAGAATAAGTCCTTGGAACTTGTGGAACATTTGCTGAGGAGAGCCCAGAAGAGACATCCTCGCTGAAGGCACCTGCTTCAACATAAGAAGGACATTGATTGTGCTGGAGCCAGCATGGTCCACTGAGTGATGGTTTCAGATATTGTTTTTATCGGATGATTGAACCCGACGAACTTTTCTTTAAAGAACATGAGTTGAAAGCACCCTTTCCGTCAATGTTTGCACAACCCTTCCGCCCACGAGGTCTCCGCTGCGAAGGCGAAGGCGAAGGCGAAGGCGAGGACGGCGAGGACGGCGAGGACGGCGAGGATCGAATACGCTTGGACATGTCAAGTGTCCACCATGAAGGTAGGGGGGGGGCTGAAAATGACATTCGAAGCGAATTCTGTGAGGTAGCACCTGGATCTTCGAAGCTGAAGGTGTGGGTCCAAGATTTTCCCCGAAGTCGGTGCTTCTGCGGTCGAGTGGATGCCCAGCAGTCCACTCCCTCGCTTATCATGATTGTTGAGAGAGGTTTCACTGATCGGGCCTGGGAGGCAAGCATAGTGGATTGAGCCAAGTTTGCAACAAGACTTGAACCAGCCAGTTTGTGCAGAAAACTCGTGTGACAATGCTCCCGTTCACCTCCTCAATAGGTGAGCGCCGAACACGACGAGCTTTCTGGGCTTGACCTGCTGATTGCTGAGGGGCTGCCATCTGAGGCCTGACCGTTCGTTCAAGTCTGAACACAATCGCTTGCGCCTGATGATGATGATGATGATGATGATGATGATGATGATGATGAGGATGTTATTGTCGTTGTTGGTGTCGTTGTTGCAGGTCGTGGTCGTGGTCGTGGTCGTGGTCATGGTCGCTGCTGCTGCTGCTGCTGCTGCTGCTGCACTTCAGTTACGTGTATTGCTGATCCTTTGCCTGTACAAATGGCGACCTAATTGAATCGGATTGGAGTTTGCTTGCCTTGTGTCACTTGGCCACTGGTCAAAGGTTTTTTCTATTCCTGAGTCACACATCTGAACATGTTCACCTAGAATTTGGAAGTCCTGTAGTTCACTCAAGGGCTTTGACCCGTGTATCTCACTGCAAGGTCTGACTCTGGTCAGTGATCAATACAGATTAAGAATTTTGAAGCCACCGATTTGTGCCAGAAGCGGCCTCGACATGGTTGGGACGAGGCACATTGATGGCACATATGTTGCTTGCGAGAATTAAGAAAAGCAGGCCTGTGATGAAACGATACATGGGTCAAATCTCCGCATGAGGCTGATCCAAACCCAAAACCCAAAAGCATCATTTTCAGCTTCCCTTTGTATTTCATTGAGCTTTAAGGCAGGGGCACTCTCACTCTCACAATTTTTCTCTAGCTGCAGCAAGCCACTGTTAGACTGGTTGCTTTTTGCGTTTTAGCCAGAAGTAGTCCACTCCTGCCCGGGCTGTCCAACTCCGCTGGTCCCAGCCATTTGGAGCCGCACGGGGCCGAGCCGCACGCCGTCGACATGAGGCCGAGGAAAAGGAGTCGAAGCCAGGCCTCGAAGCGAAACGTTCGAAGTTGGTGTTTTTTGAGGACGATTTTTCTTTGCGCCAAACGAGGTTTGATGAAGTTGGACATTTGAGCGGGCGAAGTAAGTCGCACATCTATTCGCTTTCGACGTCTTTCGACTGTCTTTTAGCCCTTCCAGCTTGTGTCTTCGAGCTTGGCCTCTGGCCCTAGGCCTCACTGAGGAGGAGCTCGATGAGATTCGGGAGGCCTAAGCCTCAAACCACACGAAGAAGCGAGTTCGATCACGGACCTCTCAGTCTTGGTAGGCCATGCTCCAAGGTATTTGTTCAGATCTCAGCTTTCTCGTATGAAGAACCTTCTTTCTGTGCCGAAACCGTGGAAGGATCGAAGAAAAGACCCACATCGTGCATGTGTGAGTCCCGAAATACAGAGTTCCAAGCGGGAAGTCCGTTTGCAGCCAGGTGTTGGGCCCGTAACAAGCATTTTAGTCAAAGGGCAAAGAGATAAAGACTGAGTTAGGAGCACTTGAAGAGCACTCACCTTTCTTTTCCACAAGTAGTAAAATGATAACACATGGCTGATGAGCAACCCAAAGGGTGCTCAGCGCTACTTGCATGGATGCTATCGTCAAGCAATTCTTTGACAAGAAAGTGGGAGAGTTCTTGAAGGTGGATGAAGGTAATCTGAGAGTGGATGCAGCAACAGGTCAGTTTCTCTTGAAGAACGCTTCAATTGTTGGCCAAGCCTTTGACGGGCTGCACCTGCCCGTATCGCTTCGTGGTGGCTTCATAGATGAATTGTCAGTTCATTTGCATTTAGATGTTTTTAATCCTGGTGCGAATGTCTCGCTTCAAATCCTCATCAAGAATGTCTTCTTGGTCTTTGGTGCCCACACCACGGACTGGTCCTACGGGCATGTGAAGCAGTGCAAATCGAAGCTCGTGGACCTCGTCATGAAGATCTTAGACTTAAAGCCACCGCGGAAGGCCAAAGCTGCTGAGGAGTCAGCCACTGGATGGTTGAGTGACGTGCAAGATCGGCTGAAGCAAGACCTGATGAAGAAGGTCGCTGAGATGATCGAGGTGAACATCACCAACTTTCACGTACGCTTCGAGGACTCCAAGACACAGCCGGTGCCGTACGCATGTGGTTTCAAGCTGGGCTACTGCGCAGTCTTCGCCACTGAGGATGTGAACTCCCAGCGGACGACAGGCTGCTGGCGGCACACAGTGGACACCCTGGCGGATCCTCTCTTCAGCCAAACCATTGTCGCCCGGCGGATGTCTGTCTACTGGGACTTGGAGCATGGCCATCGGCATTTCACCTCCATTCCCAGTGGCGAAGAGGTCTTTGCTCGCTTCAAGCGATTGAACCTCCGGGAAACCTTTTCAGCTTGCGTTGTGGAGAAGCTTTTGGAGCTCTATCCACCACAGCATCCACGTCGCAAATACATGGAAGGTCCAACCTTTCGAGAAAGGTTGGACTATCATCAGTACATCATCTTCCCTGCTGGTTTGAATGCTCACATCACCGCGAACAAGACCAGCGAGGCGACCCGGATCCAGAAGGCTCCTTTGCGCGATGCTGATGTGGTGGTTTACTCCTTAGATGTGGCCATTGATTCGGAACAGCTGCGAAGCATCAACTCCTTGTTGTCCTACATGAAGAACTTTGGTTTCAAGGACACCCTGATGTTGTCGCGGCCCTCCCAAACGATCAATGCTGTAAAGCCTGGGAGTGCAAGGCGCGAGTTAGTACGAGCTTGGTGGCAGCATGCGATGAAGGCGGTTCAAATCATTTGCAAGATCCCGAAAAGGGACCTGTCTGCAGAAGATTTGCAAAATCGTGCAGCTCTGCGGGAGAGGTATATCACAGCTGTCAACCATGCAAAGGACTTGGACCTCTTGGTCAGAGCTGGGCAAGAGGATGCTCGAAAGCATGCACAAGCCATGGAGGCGGTTTCTGATATGCAGATGATGTTGAAGATGAAGGAGATTCTCGATTGGCGGATGCAAGCTCGCGACCGTTGGCTTGCTCGTGATGGTCAGGCAGCTACTGCATCAACGCCGCTTGAGGCAGCTCAGCGGGAGGACAGCCGCACAGAGAGCAAGGCTGCCAGAGTGAAGGATAGACCACTACCTCAAACTCTGCAGGTGAAGGTGACCTTCCAGGGCTTTCAAGTCTTTTTCCTCGTGGCTCATGGCGGCTTCTGGTATACCAAGTACAAGCCAGGTACATTGGTGGATGAAGAGCGGCCAGAAGACATTGAGCGGCCAGTGAGCAAGAAGATGCATACTCGACAGCCAGTGGTCTCCGCATCTGTCAAGAATATTGTGCTTGAGGTCATTCAGAAGGGACACAAAAGCTTCAGAGTTGCCAGGTGGATTGAGGTGAGCGTGGGCAGATTGGAGGTGGTGAATCTCAATGCCGGGCTGCAGCAGCCCAGCCGAAACATCGTGAGCATCCAACCCATCCAGAAGCACAAGGGCTTGCCGACCTGCATTTTTCTGGGTTTGAACACTTTCGAGTTGATGGATAATAGCTTTGTGACGGGTGACACACCTTTGTCTGCTGTGTTGGAGCCATGGGATGGCCTTTTGGGGCATACCAAAGACCAATTCTCACCTGTAACTCCAGTGATGCTGCAGAACTTGGGCTTCCTAAAGGAACATGTGAATGACTTGGGGAAGCTCATGACCTTTGCATTTGCACGAGTTGGTGAGGTCAATGCCATGGATTGGGCACCCTTCCGACGTAGGATGCTGTTCTTCAGCAAGAGTGGACTTCGCGACATGGACTTGGTGACCGATTTGGCACGAAGACCCTCTCAGGAGGCACTCATGAAAGAGCTGCTTGCACGCTTGCAACGAAAGGTGGAGCTGGCTGTTGGGAAATCCAATATGTTGGGCTCCTTTGAGGTAGAGTTGGATGGTGTTTTGGCTCGAACTGTGGATCACTACAACAAGGGCTTGGTGCTTTGCAAGCAGGCGCAGCTTGGTCCCTTGATGGTGAAGCTGCGCCGCAGTGGCCAGCCACAGGCTTTGCAAGTGCAGATCCATCATCTACACCCGAATGTTCTGGCCGCGCCCTCACTGCCTTCATTGATGAATGGTGGTGTGAGCATGTTGCCCTGGAAGACTTCAATGATGCTTCTGCCACAGGAGGGCTTTCAAAACACAGCAGGCTCTGATCGAAAGCTCCAAGAACCCCGAAAAGGAAGCAAGGAGAAAGAAGCGAAAAGTGAAAAGAAGGGCCAGCGCGGTAGCATTGGAACCCGCCAGCGTGGTGTCCTGAGCCCACAGTCGCCATCTCCCACAGAGACGTCCGTCGCATCTGCATTCCATGTTCAGTCCGGTTCTCTTCCAGCCCAGTCCGGTGTCAAGTTCATGGAGGCCGCATTCTTTCTAAAATGGGGTCGCAATGGAAGGGCCAAGAGAAGGTATGTGGAGTTTGACGAGACATTAAAGGCGATCGTTTGGAAGGACCACGCAGCAGCAAGGCCTCGAGGCATTTTTCCCCTTGGGAACATCCAGGATGTTTGCGTGGGACTGCAGACACCAGTGGCTCAGCAAGCAGACATGCCTGCGACCTGCTGCCACCCAAAGGGTGGGTATAGATTCAATCCCAATCTCGTCATCTCAGTCATCGCTGAAGATCGCACCCTTGACCTGCAGGCGGAGACTGACCAGCAGCATCAAGTGTGGGCTGAAGGTATTGTGGCCAGATTCCGTGCACATGTTCACAGTCAGGGCGATGGCCTGGCCTCGACCCCCGCCACTTACAAAAGATACCCGGTGAAGTTCAGGAGTGATCGTTGCGAGCTTCGATTGGCATGTGAGAGGTTGCAGGCGATGACGTCCTTCAACAAGACCGTGGAGGTCATGCAAGGCGCTGCGGAGCGACCGAAAGTTTGTCGCTCATGTGGCCTTCCACTTGAGGGATCCAGCTGCAGCAACTGCGGAGCAACGCGAGAGGAAGCAACACGAGTTTGAGGAAGCACGTGATTTCATGAAAGAGAGGAAGCAACCTGATGGTGTTGAATTCTTTGCATTTGCCCAAACGCCTCAGGTTTTTGTCGTCGAAATGTTTCACTCCTCGTGTCTCAGCCAGATGTCTCTAGACTTTGGAAGTGGGACAAAGAGGTGAAAAGGTCGCCGATGGCTGCCACATGGTGTCAGACCGCAGAAACGTCAGACCATGTCTACATGACGATGTCTACATGTCTACTTTGCACTGCGCCCAAAGTGCCCTCGTTTAGTCCAGGAGCCCCGATCAGTGACCGGCTTGAAGCTGATTGGAGAGGAGGCGCCGTCGAAGCCTGGCACAACAGAATCGGTCCTGTGTAGCCCCTGCAAAATCACGCGACAGAGTTGCATGGTTTGCAGGGTTTCTGGATCGCCAGTAGAGTGTGGCTTCGTATGTTTGACATTGATCCTGGCAGTCTGGGCCCATTCAGCTGTTTGATTGTTTCATAGTGCTTCAGTCCGGTGTACTCTTCATCCCCCAGACTGCATCCAGCAGCTGCTGGTACACCACCCACGCACCGCTTGTTTCTTTCAATCACCAGTCCAAGGAATCTTTCATGGCACTATGCCCCTTGCTCAGCTCTGTGAATCTTCAATGCTGGAGAGATGGACATCATTGACGGACTAAGTGACATCTAGTGGCCCACTTTCAACGATATCCGAGCCTTCCGGATGAGTCGATTGAGGTTCTGAAGGATGAGACAACACGGAGCTTCGTGGGTTTTCTACCGCGGACATTGAGCCACTTGACGGATGCTCCTTTGGAGAGATTCTACGTCTGACATGGAATACAGATATGCTTCCAGCTGGCTAAGACGTTTGACCATGGATTCTGAGGCCAAGACGTTTGCAGCTCCTTTTTTTGAGAAGGCTTTAGAAGGCTCCTTGTTTGCACTGGATTGAACTTATTGCTGGCATTGGAGTCCAGAAATCAACGAGACATCCACGTTGATGTGAAAACGAGACTGCATGTTGATGACATCAAAACAACAAGACTGTTCCTTGCACGCGCCACATGTGATGCCTCGAAATCATGGACACCGGACACCGACCTGGCGAACTAACTGCTCAGTGGCAATCAAGGTGCCAAATGGCTACAACCATCTGGCCCGAATGGGCCCATTCCACGGAAGACTGCCTGGATGGTCTACTTTGATTGCACATGTACATATAGACTCCTGGCAGAGAAGTGGCTGTGGTTAAGTCAGATGAACAAAGCTGTTGCGTTTTAGTTGAAGAGAAGCCTCTAGGGCGCACGGGCCCCTTTCCATTGAATCTTGAGGTAGAACTCTCTAGCAGTCAGAATGATGTCACTTGCGACTTTGAGACAGGGCGGACAAAGGCCATGGCCATGACCTGATATTTATTATTTGACACAGTTTTTTCAAACACTGATTTCAATCATGTTTACCACCTTCCGAGGATATGGACGCATCGAAGTGGAACCGCAGCGGTATCCGCCATGGATGTGCACCTTGATGCACTGGGTCATGTCAGGGCACTCAGTGGGAGGTTGGAGGTTCGTGGAAATAGAGGAAACTGGAGGTTCGATTCCTGGCTGCAGGCCTTGCTGCGGTATCAACGAGCAAAAGGCCGGGCCAGCACCATGAAGATGGTTCCCGCCTTCAAGAACAGGCATTCAGAATCATTTCAAAAACATTCAGGTGTGACACATATGCCTGTGCATGGAGAAGTGTAATGAGTGAAAAAGACAGGTCTCCTGCATCTCGTCGAGTGTCCTTTTTGTCCTTTTGATGCTCAGGACTGGCCGAACAGTTGCAATCTGAACCTCTATCAGGATGGGAGCCTGAGCCTTGGAACGTTGGCTGAAGTGCAGGAGGTTCTTGGAGCTTGAGACGAGACTTGAGAGATGGAGACTAAACGACAACTGCATCCTTTTGGTAGTTGGCCAGGAGGAGACGATGCTAGTACTGAAGAGATTAGAGATCGTAAGCTCAAGAAGTGGAAGAGGATTGAAGAGGATCATGAGAAGCTTAAGAAGATGAAGATGATCCAAGATTGCCGAGTTCTCCAAGCGACCCAGCTGCGGTGTGGTTGAGGTGCTTCCGTCGGTTGGCATGCAGATGATGAGCATCTCTTCCAGGGGAAGTGCGCGGGCCCAGTGCAGAGGTTTTCCGGCCTGGCTGGAATCCGTATTGGGGACGCCTTTCCTCATTCTTTTGTGAGTTTTAAGAATCACCTGGCAAAACAGCCGCCAAAACAGTTGATGCTAAGCATCGCCAATTTTTCAGCAACATGGTAGTGAACCCTCCAACAACAGGGAGCCCTGTCTCCAAGCTCTTACAAATTTCGTTCCATTGGAGCTCGCTCCAAACTGATGCAAGTTGCACCCAGCTCGTAAAAGGTGCTGTGGTCATGCCATGGTCATTGTTGGAGAGCATTGACAAGAAGGCTGACGATGTTCTCTGAAAACATAATCCATCCTTTTACGTCCAAATGTGCTTCATATCTCCTCTTGAGCTCTGAGGAACCGCGACTGTCGCATCATCTCCTTATCCCTGGGCGCCACGCGTAGCTTCGAGCTCCGGAGGAATTGGCCGCTGGGCGGTTCGTCGCGGGGCGTTGCGGCGCGTCGCGGCGTTGCTCCGAGGGGGGTAGCAAAACAGAGTACCACCTGCTTGCTTCCCAAGCCGAAAGAAGGGGGCGCCAGGAAATACACCACTTGACAGACCTGACAGCTGACAATCAAGAAAACCAGCAGGTTATACAATACTGATCGGTGGAGTTTTTCATGGAATGCAACAGATTCAATAGGATTTTGGCATCTGCAGAACGCTGACTGAGGTCTGAAGCTGACACCATCCGGCTTCCGCTGACTGCGGGCGACCTTTGTACCATGGAAGCTCGGCTGATACTGAGGTGCTGGTGATGGAAGACACATGGTAGAGTCTAGTAGAGTGGCAAGAACAGAATCAAGTTTGGGCATGCTTCACCTTGCAACGCTTGTAACATCTTGTAACCTGTAAACACTCCCATGGTCTCCAGAAGAAGACTAGGACTAGCAGAGTATCCGGCCGCAAGGAGGGGATGGTGCAAAAGCATCTCCAGCACCGGGTGCCCCGCGAGGATCAGGTTGGCGTTCCAAGAAGCCTGGGCCATAGGGAAAGCAACGAAAAAAGAGGATCTAAGATCCACTTTCCAGTTTCTTTTGACCTCTCGAGTTGTTGAAATTGGGTATCAACTCAGATTCACAGATATTCACAGATATTCCACAAGTATCAACTCGCTGTCGGAAAAGAAATGATCTAATTTATGTCACTCTCCTGCAGATTCATATAGAACGCATTGGAACCCTAAACCACTTGGTTGTGGACGAAAGTTAAGATGGTCTTCCACTGGTCAATTCTCAGGTTCCATGTAAGATTGTGTTGGGTACTGTAGCTTGACTTGTTGCATGGGTGCTTCAGCATGATAAGATCAGTGAAGAGTTGGAATTTGGATCCGATGTACGCACCTCGCTTGCAGGTGCGTGCCCCGCGGATCAACCTCACGTGGCGGTGGATTGTTCCTTGTCCACCGACCACTCCAGATTTTTGCACATGTTTCTGCATGTCATCAAAGATGGACTCAACTGCCATAAGTGAGTTAGTGGCCTGTTTGGCATGTTTTGGCCAATTCATGACTTTTCAAAGGAAGGCCGAGGCTTATGTTGTTCTGATTCCATGGTATGCCATGGTGTCTTGCAGTTACTCCCGGGGCCCGGTGAAACTCATGGCTGCCAAGGTGAGGCATTCTCCTGGCTGCCCCGCACGACGATCTGTGTGACCTCAGAAAAAGTCGAGTCCGCAGCGCGCAAAGACGCTTGAAGAGCGCTTGCGGTGGCACCAGTCCAATGGGTTAGCTTCCGTAGCTCCAAGCAAATGATTTTTGGTGTGGAGGTTCAGGGGTGAAACCGGGCTCTCGCATTCTTAATCCTCAAACATCGAGGCAAATGCGAGACGTTGCACGAGTGAAAGCGGAGCTTGAGGGAGCCACGCACTCAGGGAGGCTGCGGTCCGGTAGACGCCTCTTGCTGAAGGCTGATGAGTTTTAGATAATATGTTCTAGACACCAAAATGCTTGGCCTTCTTGGTGAGACCTCCTTTCTAATACAATGGAACCTCCAGTCACTCGGAGGAACCTTGTGTCTTCCGTCTTTGAATCCCACGCCGGCGCATCGCTCGCTTTGAGGAGTGTCCCGTCTTCCTGTCCCATCGCCTGCGGCGGATCTTGGAGTCCATCCTTCGGGTGCCCATCGCTGAGAAGGCGGAGAGGGCCGGACGGAAGGAACGGAAGTGGGACGGAAGTGAGAAGGCAGAATGGCCTGGGTGGAGTCGTTCTGATGGATAAGTCCGAAACTAGACACTTCTCGTAGAAGGGCGACAACCAGATGAAAAGTGTTTGTTTTTCTTGATCGTTCTTTCTAAGACTCTCGTGCTCGTGCCCCTGTGCTCTAGGGAGTTGGGGACGAGACTGCGGGCTCTGCTCGAAGAACAAATCAGGGGGGTTCTGCTGGCCAGGACAGTTCAGACTGGGATTCTTCGTCCTTGGAGGCCAGTGGGTTCCGCGAGTTCGGGAGGAACCCTAGGTCGGCACTCATTCTTTAGGTGGAGAGTCGACCTAGTAGCGAACCTTGTTACTACTAGTAAGGCACCTGTTACTACTAGCGTGGCACTTGTTTCTACTAGCTTCTTGTTACTACTAGTAAGGCACTTGTTACTAGAAGCGATGCACTTGTTCCTAGGAGAGTCGACCTTGCAGAGTCAACTTTGCGGCTGAAGGATTTGTTCGCGCCAGGAGCATGTGGCCAAAGCAGTCGCGGCGCTCACCTTTCACCACAACTTGCCACCATCTTACGTTCAGTGCCCTTGGAAAGGCTAACACTAACACTGCCTGAAGAGCCACACGCTGAAGACGGTGGTCCAGACACTCAAATGAAATATATTAGCTACTAGTAGCAAGAAGCTACTAGGTGGAGGCCATCGCTATTAGGTTGGAGGCCATTACTACTAGTAACAAGAAGCTACTAGCAGCAAGAAGCTACTAGGATCAAGACTGTCCTCAGCTGCTGTACCAGGTACATGCTGAGTGACCTCTACAAGAACTCCTCGCTGGACAGTTTCAATTTGCCCACTACCTTGATGTTTCTTGCACCTGTACTCGCGGGCTGTCTTGCTCTACAATGATCAGAACTTGGATTTGGTTGAACGGTCAAAGCAAATGCCAAATGGACCTCACCATTCAATGAGAGTATCTCAGCCCACGCCCGCAAACTCATATTTCCCAAGTTCAGGACTCTGCTGAGAAGACCTACCGCAAGTGCCTGAGGTTGCGGGGTGTTGCCGCATGTAAAGGTGGATGTTGCAGAAGAACTTGCGGCCACGAAAACCACCAGACTGGTGGTTCAAAGAGACAGCCGTTGTCGTTTAATGATTTTTCAGTTCATTTCGCCCAATTGTTCCCTTTCCTAGATGTTAGCAAGGTCTGAAGTTGGCAACCACCTGCCTGACAGGGTAGTGAGATAAGTTGCAGCGGTTGGAGACTGACAAGTCCTAGAGAGAGCTCCTGCTTGAACTATGTTCTGCTACTGCGGCCACCAGTACCGTCAGTTGAGGTGAGGTGCTCACCCGCCTCAGGGACATTCTGCGCCAGGCTGCAAATTATGTCACTTTGCTGGTCGTTGCGACTGAAGCCCATTCGTTTGGGACGTGTTTTTGTAAGTACAAGGACCCTCAGTACACCTGTTTAAACTGGTGCAACACTTTCACACCAGCTGTATTGACCTGGCACTTGCGAAGGACCCGTCGACGAACATTGACTTGGAACCCAATGAGAGTGGGGGCCCCACCTGAGACTGCCTCTTGAGGCTATGAGACCGGGAAACTGCTTGCCTCACCTGAGACGATTTCAAGACAGTCCTAAGGTATTTTCCTGAAGGTTTGCAGCATCCAACTAGGCATCCAGAAACTAATGAAGCACGTGCTTTTTAGCTCCAACTTGTGTTTGTTTCCTAGAGGTGGGTATGATGGTATGCGGTATGCACTATAATATATCTGAAAGCACTTCTTATTCCAAGAGAATGGCCTCTATCTATGGGTCAACTTACTACAAGCAAACCGGCCAAATGCGTTCACAATCACACTGAAACCAAGAGTTCTACCTAGCAAGAAGCATCTCAATCTATCATGCCTGGGGCTAGGCAGATTGGCACTTGCAACCAGAATCAAAAGGAGATCGATCTTTGGGAGAAAGCTTTCCTACATGTGAAGGCCTCAATGATCTGGAGGAGGTGGCCAGGACCTCAGGGAGTGCAGAGAGTGCAGAGAGTGGCTGTTTCGTTCTCTGCTCCAGACGGCGACCAGCCTCGTGAAGATGAAGGCGTGTGCCGAGCGTGGCGCGTGTGTGGTGAGAACTGCAGAATCCTATATAAAATCTCGGAACCAAATCATTTAGTGCTCAAGGAAGCTCCACCCGCCCTCAGGTGGGGGAGCTTCTTTGAAGAAGCGTGAGCTATCCCGCGTCCAGTTACTAGGAGCTAACTAGTGGCCCTGAGCGCCCTTACTCATACAGTATACAGTATATAAGTAGGCGCTGTTCCTTAATGAAGTAAGGAGGCAAGGCCATGGGCTAAAGACTTTTTGATGTTTTGGACTTGACTGTCGGCTAGAGGGCAGAATGATGGGCAGCCCGCGAGGCAGCGCTGCCTTCGAAGACCTTCAGTGATTCGGGGACTCACAACGAAGAGGCGACACCAGTGGTGCAGCATCGCCGGCGTTTTTTCGACGGAGACCCGCGGAGTGTCTCTATCTTGGAGAAGGATCCGCTTTTCCAGGGTAGTCTTCTCCTTTTGGCACCTCACATGCAGTAAGAATAGGAGCTTGATGAGAAACCATGACCTGTTTCCAGATTTAGTGTTTGAGCCGCAAAAGCAGCTTCCGAAGCCAACAGCGAGTTTTGTTGCAAAAGCCAAGAAAGAGCCGCTGGGTCGACCAATTCATTCCGGCCAATCCTGGCGCCGTGGCATCGGCGCTCCGAACGAGTGTTGGCTGGGCAGGTCGTCCGGCTGCGGCGCGTGGAGCGTGGCATGCCCAGGGCGTGGTTTGGGCCTGATGGCATGGAGGAGGCCACGAGTGGAACAGTGATGGGCCGGTCGGTCAGTCCTTTGAAACGGGAAAACACAGATGTGTGAACAGTGATGTGGTCATGCACAGGGCGCGAAGGGTCGCGCGAAGGGTCGCTTGCTGTCAGGACAACTACACCTTCAAGAGTGCCATCATCAACAAGCTTCCAATCGCAGAGCACAAGGACCCCGTGCTAGCGGCCGCAGGAAGTGGAAGCCGCTGACCAGCAGGTCTTGCTCATTTGGGTCATTCGCCCACACAACTGGTGTAGGCAAACACGTCCCGAAAGGGAGTAGGTCTTGTTCAAATCTGATGTCGCTTGTGAAAACCTCTCACTCAGGAGGAGATCACTCAGCTCATCAACGACAATCAAATCGTGTAAGCTCCTGAGTCCTGAGATGCACTCACTGACATGTGGGACTCAGAATCAAGTGTTACAACGACGTGGGATGGTCGGCAACAACAATGTTTCTGTTTCATGTCTATTGCCTATGAACCCTGCAAGCAAGACGAACAACCAAATGAGGTGCCTTCCGAGAATTGCAATGGGAGGAAAATCCTGGGTCCGCAACAACATGCACAAATATCTCAGCAGAAGAAGGGATGAAACGACAACCTGGTACACTTTGTTTGTTTGTGCTTTACGGACCTTGCAACTTATGGCAGCAAGCAACTGACATGTTTGCTGCCTTTGAAACACAGAGCCTCAGGTTGATTCAAGGAGAGACCGGTTGTGGCAAAACAACGCAGGCAAGCTGCAAGCTCATTTTGTGGAACGTGGTATACAAATCTTGATGCTGAATAGAATGACTTGGTGGCTGCAGAGTGCCAATGCTGTTTCTTCAGTCTTGATTGCCGGATTCCAGGTCCCGCAGTACATTCTAGAGGCACGCCTGTTGACCCGCAGCGGAAACTTGCATTTCAAACGAGACACGCACACACAGCAGCTCTGAGGTTGAAACGATGATTTGAATCTGAATGTCCGGTAAGGAATGCTCAACCACTTGAGGGGATTTCAACCAGTCCGTTTTCCAACGAATTGTCACCGTTTTCCCACCGAAAGCGCTCCAGGCAGCCCTCAAGGCCCAGGCCGACGCCCGACGCCCAGAGGGGAAGACCTCCTCGGATCTGCGGCGGCCGGTGCGGATCGTCGTCACGCAGTGGGGGAGCACAGAGCGCATGAACCCGCTCCTGGAAGGAACGCATCCGCATAACTGATGGTGGCAAAAGCATATGAGTAGCAATTGATAGCGCATAGATATAGCATATACATGCTGGCAGGGAGAACTTCCAGAGACCTGACAGTTATATGGCCTCCAAGATACATGAAAGCTCTTCTCCAGCTCACCTGTTCTCTCTCTCTCTCTCTCTCCTCCCGCGCTCTCTTTCTTCTTTCTTTTTTTTTCTCTCTCTCTCTCTCTCTCTAAACTCGGCCAATTTTTTGTGTTTTTTGGGTGTCGATGCCGTCTGAGGCCTCGGCGGATTGCCGCCATCACGGTGGCCAAGCGTGTGGCGGAAGAGCTTGGAGAGAAGGTGCCGTCCAGGTGGTCATTTACACTGTAGATGGTGAGGTCTCCTTGTAGCTGCAGTGACAAGACAACTACCATTTTTGGACGCGGATGTGTTTGCTAGTAAGGGGCAGTAAGGGTTCGAAAAGTCTAAGAC